GTAGTTCTGCTAAGGTTGGGGCATGCTGCCCAGTTCCCCAGTTCTATGCTGGATTTTTGTCTGCTTGAGTTTGCACAGGTCTTCTACTTGCTGTCACTACTGCTGTAGGTTCATATGAGCAAGGTTCCATATGGTCATGCGCCTCCTCTCTTTTCACCCCCTCTTCTGCAATGATCCCTGAGCCCTGGGTAGGTGGTGTTTAATGTAGGAGTCTTGTCCAAGGACCCACACTCTGCAGGCTTTTATTCTCCATACTTTGGCCATTTGTGTCCATTTGTGTTCATGGCCCTATGTTGAAAGAAGGTGCTTCATTGATGAGAGTTGAGAGAAACATTAGTTTTCTCTCTACCCCTTGTTTCACTATGTCCCATGAGCCTTAGGGGTAGAGGTTCCACTGTAGATGTGTCACTTAGGGTTGAGCAATTATTCATTGACAATCTGTGTATGACCAGTTATGGAACTCTATAATAATCTCCATTTGTTGCAAAAGAAGTGTCTTTGATGAGTGGTGACTGGGATACTTGTCTGTAAATATAAGGATCCATATTTTGCACAAAGTAATAAATTGCATTTGTCTAGGGATGTGACAGCCTTGGGGTTTTCTCTAAGATCTATGATCTCTTCAGTCATGTGTATTTAGCTATGTTTACAGCACCACACATGAGTTTCCTCCCACTGAGTAAACTTTAAATCCAATTAGGTAGTTGTTGATTACTCCCAAGATAAAAGTGCCACTACTGTCTCAAATACACAGTTTGCTGTGCCAGTGCTTATTGTGGTTATTAGGCCTTAAAACCGAGGTTGGACCATTAATTGATGTTCTCCCATAGCAGCTTGCATAGTGCTTTCCAAAACTATGAGAGCTAGCCTTCAGGGAAGGTGGCTTTTAAGTCAGTTCCAGCTCCAATCCTCCAAATCCTGCATCCAAAGTGTGGCTCATCTTCAGCAATAAGGTCTTACCTTCAAGTTCTGGGAGGCAATCAAGGGCTGTAGCAATAGCCTGTGTAATTTTGGGACTCTCGGCTTACCCTGGCCAACAACTCAGAGGTTTCTCCTGTCTGGTACTGTTTCTTGCCTTCAGCTATAAACATGGACTCATGTATTTTGTATGTGTAATTTTTCATTGTTTTTGGACTAATATGATTCCCTCTGGTTTTTTATACTAGCATTATTTCTCTTCTCTCTCCCCATCTAACCCTTCTTCCACACGCTCCCCAGTTAAAGTACCCTCATTTTCCCCATTTCTCCTTTAATAATATCTGTCTCCTATGACCCCACACCCCCGAGCTTCTTATATTCTACTATATGTACTGCATCGTGGTTATTTATCCGTTGGTGTATTTGGATTATTTGGGTTCTTTCCATCTTTTGGCATATGAACATGGGTGTACAGATTCTTTGATACTCTTTCAAATCTTTGGGGGCACATGCCCAGATCTGGACCATATGGTAATTCTATTTTGAATTATTTGAGGAATGGCCATACTGGTTTCTGTGGTGTTGCCCCATTTTACATTCCTACATACCATCAGTGCACCGGTGTAATTTTTTTCTATATCTCAAACATTTGTAAGTTTGGTTTTTCATCGTACCATCCCAATGGATATGTACAGAACCACTTCTGTCACAGCTTTTGTGGGTGGCTGGGTGCTACTGGGATGCTGTGATACTGCTTCCATCCTTCAAACCTGCAATGCACAGGATTATCCTCTGCAACAAAATTAACTAGCCCAAAACATCACTGGTATAAAGGTTAAGAAAGTCTGAGGTAAACAATCAGGGTCATGTTTTGTAGTAAATCTCATCCGACATTTGTGCTTCCTCTTCCTTGTTAAGATTCTCCTAGGCAACTCCCTGAATCTGGAAAGTATAGGAGGATTGAGAATGACATTTCTTTTATTCAAATTTTATTGGAAGTCTACAAATGTATTACAGAATCAGTAAAACATCATATCCACTTTACAGGGCACAGATCTCAAGCAAAGTGTTCAGAACAGTCTCTGGCAGAGCCCACGTCAAAGGCCTGTGACAGGCCTTCCGAACAAACAGCTTGACACTTGACACATAACACAAACTCCAGCCTGCCTCACTTTCTCAGGCCCTCTGAGATTTTGTTTATGCATGTGGAATTAAAGCAGGTGGGCAAAGCAACTCTGTGCAGGAAGGAACAAGTTTAGAACAAACTTGGTCAGAGGAGTCACAGGTCTTAGGTTGTTCACTCAGGGTCACGATCAGATCAGAATACTTTCTTGAAACTATGGGAATGAACTAGTTAAGCTTGAGAGCTGGACTCATTGGTAAGTAACCTCCTCAAATTTAGAAATGTTGGAATGGTGACCTATTGAACACCAATGTTCAAATGTTCAGACCATGAAGGGCTTTCTTAGAAAATTCTCAAGGTAGAACTAGACATTGTTTATCCTGTGGATTTATCACCCTTGAATCACAGACATGTCTTTTAAAATCATATGACCATTTCCAGTCTACTTTTTATTCCCTCGAGGAAAGCTAGTTCTGGCATCAGGAAGTAGGATTATAACACAGCAGTAGCTCCCAACAGTGAGTCATGTTCTACAGGGCTCTTGTGTTGACTGGGCTACTAACATGAGAAAATGGAAAACGAATCTAATCCTTTCTTATCTTGATCTTCATGACTTCTAAATCGTCATACAGGCATGCTCTGGTATGTTCTGAGGCTCCCAGAGGAACAAACCACTGAAGATAGGGTAAAGATTTCTTCATTTCCACTTCCCTTACGCTTAAAGAAATATACTTTTCAAAAGGTACTAATCTGCAACTTCCTTCAAGATCAGTGGTGGAATTTTTGTGTGCAGAGACCTGAAGGTGCCAGACATATACTAATAGCATCTCCTCTTGTATGAAACACTCAGGTAACTAGTTCAACCATTTTCCTTGGCCACAGGTAGATCATCATTGTGAAGCACAGCATCTGGTCTCTGTTAGGAATCTGCAAGGAACACTTCTTGTAAGTGTTCTTAGTTCCTTTTAGAGAGTGGGATCAGATGAGGAATCAAAGAGCTCTCATCTGACCTCTGCAAAATGAGCACGAGTGAGGGCTGCCTACATAACTGGCAAAGAACCTGAGCATGAAAAAGGAGGCCTGAGTGATATTTGTTTGGCCTAAGAGGTCAGCCTCTTTTAGCTTCCATGATCTTAGGGAGAGAGGAAATGGAGTCTCCCACTTCTTTATGACAGATGCTTCCTAAATGTCTAGTGTACTGTTTCTTTTCTAGGACAAAGGGGCCCAGATAAAAATCAGCTCATAAGTAAGATTTATTATCACACAAAGAAGATCAGCTCTAGTCCTGGCTGGTTGGAGCAGTACATATATGCTTGGGATGACACCTACTTTTCCTTGGAAAGTCTACAGTCATTTGCTGCCTACATTTCTTCTTAGGTGGCAGGGGAGCATAGCATATATTCCATTTGTGCCACCACTGGTCCCACCTGAATGCAAAAATGAGTCATAGGACACAAGAAGCAGCTGTCAGAAGAGGAGCAGAAAACTCCATTTTGCCATATAGTTCAGGATAGGCGTACACTTGAGAGTCCAGAACTACAGCACAGAAGGAAGGGTCTCTGAATGCCATGCTCAGTGCTACCAGCTTGGTATGAAAGTTTTATGCAGTACCAAAGGTGGGGATGTATTGGCAAGACCATTCAAGAAACTCTCCATGACTTATATACTCCTTGCACTGGGGAAAATACCAGTTTAGGTGTTACTGAATTTGGCAACAATAGGAGATGAACTGGACTCTAGAGCTGTAGTGCTAAGCAAAAAGTAAGCTTGCTATGGGGAGAGGTGGAAAAAAAATTAAGACATCAGAGTGGGAAAAGATGTCTATTCGAAAAACCAGTTTACAGAATGAGTTGCTGATCTTAAGCAGAGGTGTGCACAGGCCCCACTCACCAGGGAAACTTGACCAATGAGAGGCAACAGATGTGCTGGAGCAAGCAGAGGAAGATTCTTGCCCCAGCAAAGAATGTGCTGTGCTGGGATTTGGGGAATGGTATTTTGAGATGTTCTTGTGTATGTTATCACTTACAGGAAGAGAAATTCCTGAGCAGTGATGTCCTGTCCACTACCGGGCATTTACATGGAGGACCCACTATCATTTTGAGGAAATGGCCTTCCTCAACTGACATTAAGGCTCCTGGTTGTATTTGGAGTGGGATGAAATCTTTAGTGGTGGAATAGAGCAGAGAGTCTTTCTAGTGGACAGTTTTGAGCTGAAGCCTGTATCCATTATATGTTAAGCGCTGGCCAGTGTGATCTGAGGCTCTCTGGACAGCTAGACCTGAGGTTTCTAGGCCACCCCCCCCCTTTTTTTTCCTGAGGGTGGTTCAAACCTTATTTGAGAAATGTACTCTGATGAGGACAGAGTTAGAAAGCAACTTCCAATGGAGAATTTCTTTCATTGGATGTGGGGCCAGAGAGGACACACGTTTTCAACCATTTGCTAAGGGATCTACTTGTCCTCCCTCTTCTCTTTCCAATAATGCCTTTTAATTCTGATCAATCAAGAAACTCAAAGTTCCAAATTGGACTCACCCAATGTCTACCAGAAACCCGCCACTGTAGTAGCATGGTGCTGCACGTTTATTTCTTAATCAGTTTGCCAAGCAGTTTATAAACTTACTATACAAACGTAATAGAGTTAATTCTCCAGAGGCTTGGATAATTAATGAAGCATTTAGATATGAAGATAGCATGCGGAAAACAGCCACAACCAACATCTGCATTGCTTTAAAAAAAAAAAAA